TTGTTTTACTTAATTTCAATTAAGATTTTGAGGTTGGTGGGTGTTGTTAAACAAAAAAATATCTGGAGTGGGGATGAGAAAGCACAAAAACCTCCTACCTGTCACTCTTCACATTGTAGTTCCACCTAAAGGCATTTTGGGTTTTTGTTTTGTTCTACCTGGTCCTTAAGGGGATGCTGTCAACCTTACAGGGTTGAATTTTAAAAGTAGTTTAAGACTGCATGAGTTTGCAGCTTCCTTTAGCAGGCCATGTTACATGTAGTCTTACTTCCATCATTAGAAGCCTTGCCAGAACTCGGGAGAGGGCTCTCTTCTGTCATAGTACTTAAATGAGACTATGAACAAAGTCAAGTTTAGGGGGAAAAGACCCTGGATGTTGTTGAATTGCTCTTGCCATAGAATACAGGAAGTTCAACACTGAGTAGTGAAGTGTTTACCTAGATGAGATTGTGAATTTTTCTGCCCTTTGTATCCAGAGCAGGAATGGCAAGCCAAAGTAGGATTTGTTTTCATTGAAAGATCAGTAATGTACTGAATCCCTGATTCCCCAATTTTGTCTTTTTGGACCTGTATGCACAGTTTTATTCTTTGTAAAATTTCAACAAACTAAGCTTGAATAAAACCTGAGCTTGCCTTTTTGTAATAAAGAGTATAATTTAGAGCTGAACTTAGTGGGGGAGGTCTTAATTCAGCATATGTGCCATGAATCTCTGGGTTCAATACCCAGAACTGAAAAAACATTTTTATTTAAGGTTCTCTTATGATCCAAGTCTAACTTCTAACATTGCTTCCCACTTTTCTTTTATAGGCCTTCTGCTTTAGTCATACGTTTCTCAGCGCTGCTAAACACATCTTGTATGTTCATGCCTCTGTAGCTTACCTTACACCATTCTGTCCTTAGAGAGCTCTTCTCTGCTTACATTGCCTCCCTTTGTTTCTGGCCATTCCAGCCTTGCTTATCCATTAACATTTAGCACGAAGAAGGTCGTTGTTATGCCACTGGGCTTCTGAACTCTTCACACCTCCACCATTGCCTTAACACCACCTCCTAAGTCCATACATCTGCCGGTGGGGATGTTTTTTACTTCATAAACAAATTTCATCAACTCCAATAGACGGTAAATACCTTTAAGGCAGTTCCATGGTGTTGCAAAATTTTTTGATGCAATAGCTGCTGCCCTATTACTTGAGTGAATCTCAACAAGTTAAGTCCTGGTGAATCTGTAAGCCAGGTATAGACCTTATTTTTAAAGGAAAACTTGTTCTTAGTAAGTTAGATACGCAGGAAGGGGTTATCACTTACAACCAGTATCCTGGTAGTTTGTTTACTCTGCTCAAACATTTGTTTGGTGCCTGCAAGCACATCGCTGGCACTCTGCTAGGCACTGGGGATACTGGGATAAAGACGCTAGCTTTGCCATATAGGAACTCACTATTTAGATGAGCAAGTCAGACATACAGGAAGGTAATTACTATTTAGTGCTATTATGTATTAATATAAAGGGAGTGCTGTGAAGCATAAGCTACAAATTATTAACTCTGAGGGAATCAGTGGCAGAACAAGCGTAAAAGCACCAAAGCATACTCAGGAAAAAGTACAAAGTTTAATGTGGCCAGTATGTTTGAGAGGTCTAGGGCTAGAAGGGAGTACAGCATGAGAGTAGGTGAGCCTGAGTAGGTTGGAATCAGCTTGTGAAAAAAGAGTATGGAGAAATACGGGCCTTCCCCTTGAAGCGTGAGAAAACCATTGATAGTGTATAAGTAAGGATGCAATGGGATTGTACATGTGTAGTGGTGATTCTGTGTAGAGGGCAGGTTTGGAATATAATGAGGTAGTGTAGGGAACTCCTCGGTCTCTCAGTGTACCCCCAGGAGGAATGGCGGCCGGTATAAGGAAAAGATAGAGGAGACAAGTGCTGGGTCAGGTGGAGGCAGACCTCTTACCTGATGGGTCAGAGGACCTGCACAACAGTAGGGGTGTTGATTTATACTCTTGCAAAGTTAGTATCAAGAGAGCCAAGGTTGCCTGGCGACTAATGACTGAAATAGTCCAGGCAGGATGTTTTTGTCAAGACTGAGGTAGCTTAACGGCTTGAGGCACTGTGGCTCTGTCCTGCCCTCACACGTATGACCAATTTCTAGCTTCAGCTGCCCCCAAAAGGTTGGTAGGAATTTTAAAGACTTTTGAATAGTCCAGGAGGAATCAAGGACAAGAGAATACCTTTCTGCCTCTGGTACTGCACTTCAGATGGTGATAGACTAGTGCTAAACGAAGAAGACATTCTCTACTTACCGCGTCCCTACCTAACCTTGGGTATCCCTCACTCCTGTCACACTCATGGACACTACACATAGCTAAATGTACTAGCTACCAGTAATGCCTGCATGTAGTCTCTTATGCAGTAATCATTAACTGAGCTCTTACTATGTGAGGACTATTTCTTTCTGGTAGTAACTATGGTCTAACTTTAGACCCATTGTCTGTTATTAAATAAATAGTTGTATTAATATCATTTACATATTCTCTGGCTCATTTTATTTTATCGTAGTGGCAGAATTGAGCAGTTTCAATAGAAACAGTGTGTCCTACAAGCCTTTAATAAATCTTTACTGTGGCCCTTACAGAAAATATTTGCTAGTCCCTAGTCCAGTGCAGCATTTCTTGCCAGTAGAAAGGAAGGAAGGGACCTATGATAGTTTCTGAGGACAATACATCTTTGTAGAAATTGCCTTACTAGTAAATTGGAAAATTTCCAAAGCTTACTGGTAAACAATTGGAAAATTTCCAAAGTTTATTAGTTGTTAATTTTCAGTGACTGTGACCCAAAAGGAGAATATTTAGAGAGATCTGTTTTGGAAATCAAAATCTAAGTCAACTGCTGGTTGTTGAAGTAGTTGCATTAAAATGATGTAGGAGATTAAAATATTGGCATTGCCAGTCTACCTGCAGAATAATCTAGAACCATTGGAGAGCTGAATAGTTGTCATTTAACAAAATAGGAAAGAAAATCCCAGGGCAATATAAAGATGAGACAGGCCTAAGGAAACTCAAGGGTGAATATAGCAGTGAACTACAGGCCTTTAGGTCAGGTCATCAAGTGAAGAGAATGGTGCAGATATCAGGATACCATATAGAGCTCAAGATGTGTTGCAAGTTGTGTATCATTGTATTGGGGACCCATCTCTTCCACACTCAAAGAATTCTGGTGGTTGGTTTATTGAGTACCTGAAAGAATACTGGAAGGTTTTGCACATTCCGTAGTAGAATTTTAGTTTCTGGCTGTTGAACTGAGAACTAGGTAGGTGGAATATGAGTTTCTCTTCTTGGTTTTAATTTCCATTTGTTCAGTATTTGCACCAAGAAAGCCCAGAAGGACCACCTTGGACAAGAAATTGCTGTGTGTGTATCCTGGTTTTAAAATCTTTCTTTCCTCCAGGTTATCCTACCTACAAGGAAAAAGTAAAGAAAAGGCCTGGGGGCCGCCCAGAAGTCATTTACAACTATGTCCAAAGACCCTTTATTCGAATGTCCTGGGAGAAAGAAGAAGGAAAGAGTCGGCATGTAGACTTTCAGTGTGTGAAGAGTAAATCTATCACCAACCTGGCAGCAGCTGCTGCAGACATTCCCCAGGACCAGCTGGTAGTCATGCACCCAACTCCGCAGGTGGATGAGCTGGATATCCTCCCCATCCACCCCGCTTCTGGCAGCAGTGACCTCGATCCTGATGCACAGAATCCAACGCTGTGACGGTGTCGTTGAAACCATAGCATGCTACTCTTCACAGTCTCATTCCGCACTGCAAGGCCACTCTTCTTCATTGTGAGATGCACATGTTTAGGATATTGCAGTGTAGGTTTTTTTAAAGACCAAAGGTAGCTGAATGGTTTTTTTTAAATGAGTACAACTCTAGCATCCTGAGGTTCCAGTTATAAAAATGTATTTGTTTACTAGTAGGTTTGTGAAATTGGTTCTTTGTATGGGGACAGTCCTTTTTCACACAGGGGTCTTTTCAGAAGTGGTGGAAATTGGCAGCTGGGGTGCTTTCAAGAAAGACTGATATTCATCATACCCCAGATAAAAATGCAGAATATTACATAGTTGCACTTTATAAATGGTGGTTAAATGGAACTGTTCAAGCCATTTTATAGTTGTGATGTATAATATAACTTAAATAAGTGCTTCTATCAAAGTATTCCTTCACTAAAATGTGTATAGTTTGCTGCCCATGGTGAACAAAATATTATTTATCCTGGGCTTATTTGAATGATTAGGATGAGATTTAGTGCTCATATCTTACTGGTTCAGTGCCGTTTCACCCTTTGAGAGTGAGTCACATGCAGGGAGTGTGAACATCAGAGGTGGTTTATTATCCAGTCTGCCTTACCCTTAATCTGTTCACAGATACTTATTTACTAATGCTTTTTTCTTAAGCGATATGAGATAGGAAAATGAAGTGTTTGCTCTTCATTTACTAAATGATTGTAAAACTCAAGTTTTTCATCAAAATAAAATTCCATTGTTTTAATGTTTCAGACCAACTTTATAAACCATGTTGGCCAGATTTTGAGTCTCCTAATTAGATTTTCTGTCTTAAGTACAACTAGAAATCACATAGCCTTCAAAGGAACTCTTAATTTGGTATTTTATGTGTGACAAAGCACTTAAGTTTCTTACTAATTATAAAATATACTATAAATCTAAAGTAATGTAAGAGCTGAAAGAATATTTCTTAGTGCACCTCATATGAAATGTGAAATGACTTTACCCGAAGTTTAAGAGCCAGTTTGAAATACTAGCTCCATGTTCTTTGCATTATATTGTACGGCTCTGCTTAGCAGATTATTCATGCAAATGCTGTTTTAAATATTCTGTGGCCTAATTCAAGAAAGAATCAAAAATATTTAGGTGGTTTTGTGTCTGTGGTCAATGCTTGAAGCCATACGATTACAAACAGTAGTAGAGAAGGGTAGCAGTGGAGCGAAGTCAGTTCATTGCATGTAACTGTGAATTTGTAAATTCCAAGGATGTGAACTTTGTGTGTAGGCAATAACTTTGTTTTCACATAAATCAAAATGGCAACAATTTGGAAATTAACTACTTTTCACAACACATCTGCATGGAGGAACTGATAGAAATCCCAGAACCATTACAAAGATCAGAAAGGCATTGAAATGTTAGTAGCTGTTGGAATACCCATGGTTGGAACTGATGATAACCCTACAGCATGTAGGACTTTTTCTAATTATTTGAAGTGAGAACAGTATTTATAGAACAAGGGAAACATTTATTAAAAATATTTAACTGTCTAATACATTATACTTTAACCCATATTTATAGTAAAGGATTCTTACAAGGAAGAATAAACAGCTTTATGATACAATTAGTATAAGAAATATCCACATGGGGGACTTCTTTGTAGTGTAAAAACACCATACATCTGAAATGACCATTTGCATATAAAAGCTACCAATGATGCTTCTGTGCACAATGATTAAAAAATTCAACACAAACAGAATCCAAAATATACAATTAATGCAAGCTATCCACAGCTAGCCCAATAATCAATGATGAGGAAACACTGGAGCAGGCCTAGTTCCACTTTGTCTGAAGTTACACATAGTAAGATTGACTTGTATCAATGGCTCTGAGATGGCTTTTATGAAGTCAGTACATAAAAGCTGTTCTCTCCCTATCCAGTAAGCTTCACAGACTGTAAAACTCCACCAGTAATGCACTTTGATACTGTAGCTGTTGCCAAAGCAACATGTAGTGTTTACAGCGGCCATGGCAAGTCGCTGAAGTCAACGGGGCCGCCCAGCCCAGCGTCTGCTTCCAGGAGGCTCATGATGACAGCCATTGCTGCTTCATCATTACTGGGACTACTTGATCCTTGGTCGTTATCTATCATGTCTATGCCTATGTGGGGGTTCTCGCCTGTGAAAAGAGATGAAGATTGGTCAGTGATTAAAAAAATAATCAAAGTATGTTTAGATTTAGTAAGCAAATTCTAAGTTTTTGTTTTGTTTTGATCCTGGAGATTGAACCTAGGTGCTCTGTGCCACTGAGCTAATTCCCCAGGCTTTTGTTTGGAGACAGGGTCTCAAGTTGGTCAGGCTGGCCTTGAACTTCTGAGTTTTTTGCCTCGGCCTCCTGAGAAAATAGAGTTATGGGTGTGTGCCTCTGCTCCTGGCTCTAAACCATTCTTTTAATGAGAAAATGATATTTCACAGTACAGTGAGACAGGCTGTTTATGGGGTTATCCTGGCAATATACATTATATATAGTACATACAGAGTCCACTAAAAAAAGTATACGCACTTCAAAAGTTTGCCATACTAATAAATGTCTGGAAGCTAATGGCCACCACTTTGAGTACCTTTTCTAATTTTAGAGGCCAAAGGTAACTTGTATTAATCTTATGTCTCAATAAATTTAGTATTAAAATATTTATACAAATTTTTCTTTTCCTGGTGTATACATTTTTTGGGCAGACTCTGCATATTATATATAATATATAACTATACATGTATAATATATATAAATATGTTGCTGTTTTTTTAGAGGTAAGAACCAGCTTTTTAGAAATAATAGTGCTTAAAATTCAATAAATGTTAAAAGTATTTGTGTTGACCTCATTTTAATTCTAATAACCAGGTAAGAGGAGTTGACAGAAAGAATGGCAAATAGAGAATGGGAAAAGAGTTGGCAAGACGGATGAGAGGGTGAAGAAAACCGCCACCTAGAAGTCATTACTGTGACTTCTCCTACCCCCTGGAGGTTGTGCCCCACAAGGGAGTAACCCTTGGGTCCCCATCAGACACAGCCATTAAAGTCAACTTGGAAGTATTTCAGTAAATTCCAAGCTTTTACTTACCAGATTTTTCTAGAACTAGCTTGTTTCATACACTCAGCTCTTAAAGCCTTCTTCATGCCAGAGTTTTTACAAGCCCATTGCAATGGCAGTGAACAATAATGTTACTTACCGAGAATAGAAGAACTGTCAGAATACGGATAACCTGGGTTCTCCTGCGCCTGCCCTGGTAGTAGGCCACTGGAAGGAATGTCTGGAGTCCCTCCATTTAAAATCTATAAGCAAAAAGGGAAAAGTGTGAAGTTTTCTACTGCTGTTAGGAATTTCCAAGCAGTACCATGTGTGGAGTCACTAAGTGAAGCATATTGGAAAGAGAAAGGGTGAATTTGAGTGGGTTCATCTTATCAGATGATTTGAAACAAGGAACTGTTAGGAACAGTCATTTTAGGAAAGAAGGTCTTCCCCAAACTCATATTTTATCTGCATTTGATAACACAGGTGGTATAAAGGCCAAATAAAATCCCTGGCTACCTGAGATCATGCTGTCCTCATACTTCTTTAAGAACAAAAACCTGCAAGTCAGTGACCCCAGATGGGCAGTTCCCTTGTAAGGGAGTAAAACATGGCAACAGATGTTTCGAAAGAAGAACTAATGGGTGGCTAACAAGTTGTGAAGTGACACAGCTCATATAAGGTGTCACAAATGAAGAGCAAAACATCGGAAGTCTTTCATGATCAGGTATATTATTGGTACCAATTTCAGTAAATTCTAGTTTCTTTAATTTGAGCTCAGGGCCTTCTCACTGAGGTTCATCTCCAGTCCTTTCTCTTTTTTTAAAGAAAGTTTTCTACTCCTGTTAGGAATTTCCCATCTGTACCATGTGCAGAGTCACTAAGAGACAGGTGCTGAAGTTGCCAGGTTGAACTGAAACTGGATCCTCCTGCCTCAGCCTCCCAGAGTGTTAGGATTATAGGTGTGCACCATGCCCAGCTCAGTTAACTTTCTTAAGGTAGGCCACTGAGAAGGTTTTACTACTCTCCAATTATTATTCCTCCTTGTCTTTAATTCTTCCTCAAAGTCCCTCCTCCCTCCAAGATCCCACCCCTTGGCTGAGTCTTCTAGAAGCAGGTTCTTTTAGAAGTACCTGTATTTCGTCCACAGCAGTTTGGTAACTGCTGGGTTTCAGGACAAGTAGTGATTTCAGTCTTTGCCAGCAGGTGGCATCACAGCTTTTATCTCCACAGCCAGCTTTTTGGTCTAGGGACCCCTTTATACTCTTAAAAATTACTGAGGACTCCAAAGAACTTTTGTTTATATAGGCTATATTTATCATTGTTTACTATATTTGAAATTGACAGATTTTATACTATATGAAACCTATTACACGTTAACAGGAATAACAACATTTTAATGAAAATTAAATATTTTCCACAACAAGAACAAAACAGGAGAAAAATGTTGTTTACATTTTTGCAAATCTAATGCCACACTTAAGAAATTTCAACTGGATTCTCATCACTGATTCTCGCTTCAGTCTAAAGTATATGAAGGAAATCTACCTCCCACAGACTAGCTGGAAAAGGGAGGCATATTTTAATAGCCTTTCAAATAATTGCAGTATCCTTATTACTCTTTGATATTACATCAGCATTTGACATGTGGAAGTTTCTTAGCTGTTAGTTGCAGTATGCAATCTGAAACCGTATCCATTTTTTGTACTCTTGTTATATTAAAGTACACTCGTGTATCTTGGCACTGTGCATGGATCTTTTACCATTGAATGGTTTAAATATCCTGCATTGGTCATTTATAGGATAATGTTGCACTGAATTTTGCAGATCTTCCAAGTGTTGACACGTTCATTATACAGCATCAAAACATCACCACTGTTGCAAGTTTTGAACTCCAAGTAGCAGGTACAGGTTTTCTAAAAATTCCAATTTTTGCTTAAAAGCCCAGATTTTATCATGACAAACAGATGCTGTTGGTTCTTTTCCTTGAAGTGACGGATGTGTGCTAAATACTCAGTCTCACAGCAAGTTTATTAGAGTACACATAATGTCCAGGGAAACAGGCAGCTAGCTCAGCCACAGCTTGATCACATGCGTGCTTTTTCTTGAGACAGCTGTCAGACTGTATAGCACACAAGTGCATAAAGTAACAGTTTTTACTGCTTCATGAAGGACTTTCTGAAATGAAGCTGCCTTTTAAATTATTTAGTTACTGTGTGTGGTGGTGAAGAACACAATGACTTTGGCAGTTCGGGGCCACTGTTCTGATTCTTGGAGAAGCACTAGCAGTTTCACTCCCAGCACTGTTCTTGCACTAACAGTGCACATAGCGACACAGTGAACAACAAGAGCAGTGTTTTAGCACTGATATACCTTTGACCTTGAAGACACTTGGAAGGGTACTGAAGGCTCCCCAAAAGAGCACAGATGACATCTGCCGAGCTGCTGCTCCATCTGAACTTGCCGTGGTGCCTCTAGATGTCCCTGTTCTCCTAGGATCTGTGGTGGCTTACTTGGCCTCTCCCCTTTAGCCTGATCCTGCCTGAAATAACTGAAGCTAAATGACAAATTCAAAAGTGACTGGGAAGGGCCATCTTTACTCTTGTGGGCCTGCTGCACCAGTTGATGGTGAGGTCATTTTTAAGTCCATCTTGTTCAGGCTGCTTTTCCTGTAAATCCTGCGCTGTGCATCCGTCTCATTAAAGAACACATTCAAAGTCTCTTCTCCCAGACCCACTGTAATAAGCCCTCTAAAGAAAAGGGAAGAATTTCCATAAATGCCTCAAAACTACTTGGGGCTTTTATGGTACAGAGCACAGCTTTGGACTTGTAGGAGTTTGGAAGTGATAAAACCTGGATTAACGTTCCAGGCCCTACTTAGTAAACGAATGCTGGGGAGATGGATTTTGTCATCTGAATAGTATGAGGATAAGATGAGAGAATATATATGAAAGTTCTCATATTTAAGCACATACTGGAGTGATAAAATCCACGTCATAGAGTCCTTTGTAATACCAAGAGGTCAAGTGCCTAAAATTGAATTGAGAAGCAGAGACAGACTACCGAGAGACACGGGGCAGAAGTATAACAGGATAGAGCAGAACAGAAGAGAACAACAGAGCTACGCTAAGCCAGCAAACACCAGGATGCCCAGGTTTCATCTGTTGGTATTTTCTGAGTCACTTTCAAGGGCTCTTACATACATGTTCTCATAACAACTTCATTTACAAGAAATTTCGTTGTCTTAAGTATTTACCCCCATGATAAAGAAAACTAAGGCTTAGAAGTTACGCGGGATGACTAGCACGTGGCAAAGCCAGGCTTCAGACTGGGACTGTCCTACTTCGACCACGTTCTTACTTTACTGGCCTTCAATTCACGCTTTTAGGAAAAGCAAAAGCATTTTTCAAATGGAAACTTCTGCAGAACAGTCATACGTAAAATGGAAGTTAAGCTGCCCCAGTAGAAGCAGCTGTCCTGCCCTTACCTTCTCTCCTTGCTGACTCCCCTGCCATCTGCCCATCCCGCTCAGTAGCATCAGCATTACCTCTCTCGGCAACCCGAGCCCCTGAGGAGCCTAGTTTTGAAAATCCCTGCCTTGCTTTTGATGCTGTGCCCTAGTGGTCTTGCCTACGTAATCTCCGTGTATCTCTGTTTTGAGAAATAGAAGGAAGACTTCATGTCCCAAGATGCTGCGGATCCTTGGGTTGTCCTGATCCATACTGACATCTGGTACTATAAGTAGATTCACAACTTACAGTAATACGCCTAGGTCTGTAAGGTCTTTGGCAAGATAAAAACAAGTTGGTTTCCTAACTCTTTACAGTGTAATCTTTTAGCAGCTCTCTTGAGAGCTGGTGACTGATAAAACTGCCTGTGCTCAGTGCACAGAAAACCCTGGTAGCAGATCCCCAAGTGTTCTGCAGCCAGAAAGCTGGCCTGACTTTCAGAGTACCGCTGGTAACACTGCTGTTTACAGTGCCAGCCTTAGACACCGACGCTGTCTTCTGCCGTTAAAACTGGCAGACAGCGAGATGAGTTTCTACGTCGTTACTTATCGATCGCTCCCTCGGTGAAATGAACGGATAGCTCCTCATTCCTTAGCATGTTCTACCTTTCCACACCCACACAGAATAAATCCTCTTGATGTCAGCAGTCCTCTGTAGTTCTTCCAGCCTGCTTTGTGCTTAGCCTTACACATGTGTATGTACTTCAAGGAAGAAAAAAGTCTTAACTGGTTTCAGCAATCAAACTATAATTGTATACTTCCGCCCGTAACATTTCAGAACTCGAGCAAGAGGCTCACTAGCCTAAGTCATCAGACTTACCTTCTTGCCTCCTGGAGAGGAGGCATCAGGGGGAGGCGTACTTGTGATGTTGAGTGGGCTAGAACCACAGCTGGAAGGTGACGAGCCTCTTATCCTATCACAGGAGAGAAGAGTTAGTTACATTTCCTTGTCTTGGGTGTTGGGTTTTGTCAAGGCGTGGAGGCAAAAAGAAGGACGAGGATGTGGACCTCTTTAGAGATTGACGAACTTTTTCTGTAAGGGCCGGACAGCAACTGTTTAGGCTGTGGCCATGTGGTCTTTCTAACACTACTACTCTCTGCCGCTGTTGCTTGAAAACAGCCACAGACAATACATACATCAAGTATAGCTGTGCTGAAAGAATTTTCAGAAACAGGTGATGAGCTGGGTTTGTTCTGCAGGTTCCTGATCTGGAATGCACACCCTGAAGTAAGCATTCCACAAGCCCTTGAATTAGGGTTTGGGTTCTTTTGGTGAATTTCAGGTAAGTTTTACTTCCTTGAAAAATCCAGGTGAGTTGGCAACCTTAAAAGTTTAATCCCACATCTTTGATACCATGAATTGGAAACCGAACGATTTATCTTTTTCCTCATAAGCACCGTTTAGCTAGTGAACACTCTTAGGAAATGGAGGGTCCCAGGGGTAGCTCAGCCACACCTACGAAGAACCTAGGAGTGGAAGTAGTAATAGTAGCAACCTCTAAAGCAACAGGTGATGGAAAATGGATGTAGGTCTTAGAATATCTCAGCAGAGGAGATTTATAGAAGGAAAGACTTAGAACTGGAAATCTACATAAACTCAGGCCGAAGTACTTCAGAAAAGGAAGCCAGGACTTTGCACTGAAGCAAGAGCTGAGGAAGTCTGACGGCAGGTGTGTTGCCACCATGCTCTCAGCTACTCCGTGGATGAGTGCAGCTTTTAAGTCACCTGGGGACGACGCTCCACTGCCCAGAGGTCTTGTGGCTCTTGACTTGTACTGCCTACTTCTCTAGATTTGGGAGGGAACAAGTTTTCTCTCTCTCCTGAATTACAAGCTCTTTAGATGCAGAACACAACTGTGTATCATGTACTGTCAGCACACATGGCTACTAATTGCTTATTCTAAAAATTGCTGTGTGTCTGCCAAATTTCCCTGCTTACGACTGAAACCACTGTTTTCCCAGGTTCCCATCTTGGAACTGCCTTTTCATCATTCTCTAGTTTATCTTCAGCACCTGGCCTTTAGAGTACTATTTGTGTATTCGCAGTGTCATCACCGGAGGGTAAGCTGCATTCTGCTGTCCTCTCCCCCTGGGCCAGTGCAGCCCCCACAGTGCTTAATGCTTTGGCTGCCTGCTGAGCATCCTGCAGTGAATGGGACCTTACAATTTTCTTCAGTCCAAACTGCTTGGCATTACTTTGTAGGATTATAAACAGTCTCCCATCCTAGCCTTGCGGCTCTTCCCTACCTACAGCCGGTCCAGTTAGCTCGGCGGCTTCTTCACCCTGAACATGGAACTCACAAGTTTATGCAAAAGTGTGCCTGGTTTTCTAGAGGTAACAGCCAGCCTCACTGCAAAGGCTGGCTCCTAGCAAGCTCAAACCCTCCCTCGCTTGCTTCAACCCAGCAATTCCCAGTTAACATAAAGAAAACAACTTCTCAAAAGATTTTAAGACGCAAGCAGCCAAACCCACTGATCTGTGGGGCTAGAACAGAATGGCTACCCGTGACGAATGCCCCTTGTGGCCCACTGGAAAGCAGGTCAGCCTCCAGTTCTCCAGAAAAGCAATCCAGTGGCAGCAGGGAATATTAGCCTTTCCCCTGCCTTTCCTGTGATTATGTTCCATTAGGTTTACTTTCCTAAGTATCGTCAATAGAAGATCCTTGAGTCATACACAAAGCATTAGGAATTGAGCCTCCCCAAGAGTCCCCTTTAGCTCTGACCTGTTTTGGTTTAGCATCTTTATTTAAGGCAGGATTTCTAAATGTCAGCACTCCTGATACTTTGGACTGGCTCATTCTTTGTGGGGATCAGGGGACTGTCCTGTGTACTGTAGGATATTCAGTAAGCAGCATCCTTGGTTTCTGTTCCCTGGATATTTAGCAGCAACCTCCCACCCAGCTGTAACCACCAGAAGTATCTCCAGACATTGCAGTACCTTCCCTGGGGAGATGTGGGGAGGGAGAATTATCTGGGCTTAGAACCACTGGTTTAGGGAAATAATCAGAAGGTGTTACTTGCCTGTGGATTTCCATGATTTCCTCAGCAATCATTCGACCTATTTTTCCTGCCCCGGCCCTGGTTCCCCCTGGAATCCCTGGAACAGTGGGATGGGTCCTCTTTGGGCCACCTACAACAAAGGAATCTGAGAGTGGGAAAGGGGAAACTAAAGAAGAAATACTGTTACGTGGCAAAATTAGTTCATCCCATGATACCCTTTAAATTCTGGGGTTGTGCCTTATCAGAAAAAGACATCCCAGCAGGGAAAGCCTCCAGCTTCTATTCAGGATCAGAGGCCAGCGTGTTGGCAAGGGGCAGCTAACTCCCTCCATGCACTCAAAAAGTGTTTACTGGACACCGTTGGCCCCACCCTCAAGGAGCTCACAGTCTAACAGGCTAGAGCAAAGTGGTAAGTTTGGTAGGTTAAGCACGAGATGCCCAGCACATCCAGGGTCAAGTGCAGCCTACTGGAAGAGGTTAACTGAGGTGACTGGAAAGGTGAGTGTAAATTAGCCTGGCAGAGATAAGGAAGAGAAAGCATTCTGGGTAAAGCAACCAACGTGTGCAAGAGCACAGAATCAGTTCCAAGGAATTCGGGGATGATGAGGCAAGAAACCGTGCAGGAAGCACCAGTCCGATCCTGAGGGCTCTTGGGTACCATGCTAATGAACCTGGACAGCACCCACAAAGGGTAAGTAGCAAGGACTTTACATGGAGAATGTACTGAGAGTTCAGTTACGAAAAGTCCACCACACAGGGAACGAACTACAGTTGTGTATACTTAACAATAGGGATATATTCTGAGAAATGTGTCACTAGGCAATTTTGTCATCTGACCGAGATGGCACAGCACACTGCACACCTAGGCCATGTGGTGCAGGAGACAAACCTGTACAGCATTTTTGGTGCTGAACCCATAGGTGAGTGTAAAGTGGTTGCGTTTATGTAGCTAAATGCATCCAAACAGGATGAGTAATGTGTGGCTCTAGACAGTCCCACGGCTACACGGTCATTAGGTGGTAGGAGTTTTTCACCTCCATCATAATCTTACGGGACCACTACCATACTCGTGTTCTGAGTTGACTGGAATGTTGCCATGCTGCCCATGACTATGCCAGAGGATGAGGCAGCGAGGGTGAGGTGAGAATAGGAAATTATCTGCCATAACCTAGGCAGCAGATGAGGAGGGCAAAGATGATGGGTTAGTTTAAAAAAGAGAACAGAATTTAAGATTTAGGTATCATGGGGGGAGAGCCAAGGGCCAAGGTTTCTGGTCTAAAAGACCAGAGGGGGAAGTGCAGAGAACCTGTTTGTGGTATTCTCAACTTCAGGTGCTTCTGTGACTCCAGGTCTCTGTCTCGGGGGGCAGTTGGACAGACAGAATGGAGCTCAGGACAGAGGCCAGGCGGGCACTGTGGATGTGGGTGTGTGCCAGGGAGAAGTGGGAACTGAAGCCATGCAAGTAGAAGTAGGCCCAGGAAGGAGGAGTCCAGTGTGGAGGGCGGGGCCAAGGCCCACTGGCTATAGTGCAGGTCCCAATGCCAACAGATACTTGGCTTCCAACCACAGGAGCGGTGACAGTCACCCAAGAGCACTTCGCACCAAACTCACTGGGAATAAAAGGATGAGAAAGTCCAGGAATTTGCTATTTCAAGGGATTCAAGTGGCCTCAGAAGGTTCAATGAGGTCCCAATATTCAGACACAACAGAGAAAGTAAGATAGTAGCGTCCTTAGTACTCCTGGGGAAATCAGCACATCATCCCTTTGCGACTTCCCTAGTTCTGCAGCAGGGGACCCTGAACAGCTAGGGTGGGGGTATCTAGCCGCAAGCAGTTTCTTAGGGCAAAGCCCCGATGCCTCAGCAGGAAATAGTTACCTTCTCCGGAGGGCAGCATGCTTTCCATGCTATGCGGGGACGCCGTGAGCTGCGGGAAGGTTGGGTCCCCGCCCTCCAGGACGTTGGCTCTGTGAACATCCCAGCAATAAGGAAATGTGAGTCAGGCCTGCTCAGAACTGTGCGTCTTTCACCTTGGCCAAGGTGTCCAGGGTCCACTCCGGACCTGGACAGGCCAGAAATGAAGTATCTGTCTGAGTGGTGAACAGCTCTCCTCACTGTTAAGAACACAATGGAGGCATCTTGGCCTTTGATCGCACTGCCTGCCTGGGCCTTCCTAACTTGTGCAGGACAGTCCGGCGGAGACGGTGGCTCTGAGAGCCGGCTGCTACTGGCGCAGCATCTCCTCTACCTCTAGGCCACAGCACACCCAGTCCCTCGCTCACCTCTGTCCACAGCTGAGAGGTAGGACGCTATGGGGAAGGAGACTGTGGTGAGCAGACTCCTTCCCTCCTGCTCACCTCTAGCCTTCCAGCTGCCCCAGCCTGCTAGGCACAGAGACCTGCCCATCCTCAGTCAAGGCCAACAGAGGTAGTGCCTGTGTGAGCCCGAGTGAGCCTTTCATGGGTATCGCCCGCTCCTTCCCCTGCAGCCCAAGTGGAGGCCCAGGGTACTGGGTCTGCAGAGTCCAAAGGTTGATACTGGGTCAGAAGGAGCGCTTGCTGTTTCCTGGAGAGACTCCACGAACCAGGGCTTGCGTGGCATGCACTTTCAAGCTTGTCATTTGGTAACAACCCTTTCTGGCCCCTGCCCCTTCTGTGGCTTCATAATATATTAGCAAGGTGGCATTAAAAGTCGTGTACTGGCTACTGGCTGCATTCTTTCCCCATGTAAGGATCCCAAAGCATCTCCCTTTGAAACAAGGGAATAATTGATATAGGAAGAATACTTACAAAACGACAGTGTTGGTTGAGACAATGTATTCTACTTCCTTGGTCCAAGGGTTCATGAAACTGAACCATCGACTTCGTAGTGTGATGAAAGAACCATCTTTGATTTTAAACTTATAGCAATTAGTCGTAATCTTTTCTCTCGTCTGTAGAACTAAAAAGGCAAAGAGACCATGAATATTGTTTCTTTAAACCTATTTGTATCAAGGACTACAGGTAGTTAGACTCCAAAGCCTCACTCTTCAATAAGCTCAGTGCTTCAGAGAACAGACTTGTTTCTGAGGGTCTAATTCAGAGCCCTTCAATTTGCTTGGTGACCTGTTGGGTTTTTTCCCATAGTCTAAGAAATTAAGGCTTCAGGGCATACCGGAATCGACTACAACATGAAGACCAGCAAATGAGGAGTCACTGTCCAAAGGGGCCCGGCCGTACTCTTTTTCCCATCATAAAGCCCGAAGGCAGTATCGGCCTTATCTCATTTTTAGGAAATCTGCATTGACAGAGTCACTGCCCTCTTTCTGTCATGTAACAAAGCCTCATAAGCCTCATCCTTTCATGTAACAAATGTCAGGAGTGCCTTTCATGTGCCAGGCACAGGAGATGGGATATGTGTGACTCCTGCCCTCAGGACAGAAATGAGTCGAGTACACGCAGGAATCAAGAGATCTGAGTCTCGAAGGATCAATCCACTTGTCAAAAGGAGGAAGAGGAAAGAACCCAGCAGAGCAGGAGGAGCACAGGGCCTGGCAGGGAGGCACCAGTGAGAGGGTGCAGCTCGAGCAGCCTCTACAGGCCGGAGAGGGGAGGGAAAGGAGTTGGGCCAGGGCCAGGGCCAGGCGGTGGGGAAAGTCTTGAATTGGACGCCGATCAGTGTCCAGGCTCAAATGTCAAGGCAGGAGGGCTGTCAGCAGGGCTGTGGCATTGTCAGGGTCGATCTTTCCAAGAATATCAGGGTAACTGTGGAAGACGGACTGAGGGTGAGAGGGAGCAGGGAGACCCATATGGAGTTTATCTCAAGGCTCAGTGGGCACAAAGGCTTAAACAAGGCTCACAGCAGTGAGGGTGGTAAAAGGTAGACTCTCTGGAGATGCATGTCGAAGGAGGGGCCGGTGAAAGGAGGGGTCAGTGCTGGTTCCTTGGGAGGCTGCTCAGGTGGCCACACCATTAGTCAAGGAGGAAGATATGGAGGGGCCCATGCTTGCATGGAAAAGAGAATCAGATCAGACTGGGCCATACTAAGTCTGTGCAGGGTGTGGGGAGACCGTCTGAAGGGAGGCCTTCCAGTAGTGCCATGCCTATGTAGAGGAAACTGCTCTACAGTTGGGCTGAGGCATTGGTAAGGGGACAGATAGTGCCTGGGGCCATCAGCCTCCTCTCCTTACAGATGTTTAGGGCTAAAGAGTCCTGGGCTCCCTGACTCCCGCACCACAGGGGCAGATCTCGCTGGAAGGTCACATGGACTCATCTAGAAGCAGGGGTGTTCATCTTTTAGACTGCCTTGCTTACCTTGCCTGTGACATTCTGCAAGATGTCCTATGTCATCTTGATGAAAATATTCATAACATGATGTGCCTAGAAGTTCTTGTGGTAAATATGCCAAAATAGCTGTTGCCCTAAAAGAGAATAAGGGAATTTTTTTTTAAAGAGGAGAAAGCCATTCAGACAATTAATAGCAACTTTGCAGTTGAGGAATCTGCCACAGCCTATGAGAACAAGGTCATAGCTGAAGGCAGAGGGCCAGATGGCTTTTCAGAGAGCTTACTACTTGGATCTTTTCCCCCAGGCTTTCTGAATTTAAGCAAGGCTACAAAAACAGGAAGAGAAAGAAGCCTTTCAAAGGGACTCCTCATAAGAAATCAAATTTTAGAAGGTTTTAAGGTGGCACCCATATATTCATCAGGTAGAAATGCGCTAGAAATGTAAACCCCAGTGCGAGGCCTCTTCTTTTCACTGCCACCTTTCAGCAGGAAGCCCAACTCCAGCTCTAGCACTGCAGGCACGTGACAGCCCATAGGATATGGCTTTCTCTTTTTTCTAGTACTTTCTGGCTGTGTCTAGGATCCAGAACAATTATTAACCTGTGAGTATTCATAAGAGAGGTAGCAAGCAACAGTAAATTTGGGACCTGTGAGTCCTTAGCCCCAGGTACCAATTACAGATGAATCCAGGAGGAGGCCAGTCCCCAGGTTGGGCCTTAGCTCCTCACCCATGGAATGAGGAGGACGCACTAGACCTGTGCTGTCCAACAGAACTTTCTGCAGTGACACAAGTGTTCTACGTGCCATTGGCCAGGTGTGGCTATCTACTGCTTAAAATGTGGCTTCTGAGCCATACGAACTGAAATTTTTATTTTAACTGATTAAATTTAAACTTAAATTTAAATAGCCATATGAGGCTACCATAGCCCATGACTACTGTACTGGATACCTCCGGACTAAATAACTGTCTCCAAGTGTTATATTCTAATCAAGTAACACTCCGTACATTTAGACGGTACGTCTGCTCTAGCCTTTCAGCCATGGACATCAAACCACCCCACGTAACAATACTTTTTTTTTTTCCAATACTTGGAACTGAATTGAGGGCCTTCACACTGAGGTATAACCCCAGCCCTTTTTTAAAGTTTTTATTTTGAGACAGGGCTGTACTAGGTCACTACGTTGCTGAGGCTACACTTGACCTTATGGTCCTTCTGCCTCAACCTCACGCTGCTGGGATTACAGGTGTGTGCCACCGGGCCTGGCTTAAACTTTCTTTATACACCAAAGAGTAACACAGAAGAAAAACATCTCTGTAGCGAAGGCGATGCCTAGTGAATCTCATCTTTACTCATCGCTTCCCTGTCTTCCTTTATTCTTAGGAAAGCTACCTGACAGCCCAGCCTCCTCTGTTTTTAACCTCTCACTAAAATCCTCTACAGTCATTGCGCAGGGGAAACATGCAGCCTCTTACCTCTGGTCTACAAAAACAAACTTCCCGTCTATTGCGTGCCGAGAAACATACTCCATAGCTTTCACCCTGATTTCCCCATTCACTGGTTGTGGAACCACGTGAGAATGCAGCCGTCCGATGGCGACAAGGCAGCTGAGGTTGCACCCCTCATTGTCTGGTTCATTGTCTTCGTCCAGCCCCATCTTTGTAGGGGGCCAGCTTTTCAAATAGCCTGTGCTGTGGATTGTGCAGAAGCTTTTTCGATCTGCTGGAAAGCAAAGTCCACAGTTAGAGTCAGTGCTGGGCGGCTAGGATATAGGTAGGGAATCAGAAAATTTTAAAAACCAAGGTTTCACTCTCCAGAAGTTAGCATCTAGTGAATGGGCCAGACAAATGTAGACAACACTCAAGCAGTGTCACGTATCCGTGGCAGAGCCAGGTACACCAAGGGCACTGCACACACCAAAGAAGGAAGGCAGAAATCTACCTGGGCGGCGGGAAGCCCCAGAAAAACCAACATAGGAGGCTAAAGGAGAAGGTCTGCACAGTAGCTACGGGACGCTATGTAGATATGCTAGGTAGGGAATGTACAAGGGCAGAAGGCGTGGCCTGTACAAGAAATAGCAAAGAGCTCTAGGGGCTGGAGTGGAAGTTTCTGAGGGTGCAGAGCTGGAAAGGCAGGCTGAGGGCGGATTATAAGGGCCATGAATTATTTGCTAACAAATGCATTAGGTTTTTGTCTGTTTGTCTTTCCCTCCAGATGGGAAATGTAGAGCATCCAAAAGTGGCCAAGTGGGAAACAGCAAATTCAAATCATGGAGCAGAGTGGTGGGTGAACTGGAGAGCGCAGAAACAAAGTGGGAAAGCTGCTTCACCAGCCAGCGCTAACAACAGAGCAAGAGACGACGAGGGCCGAATGATGGCAGAGGCGGGCGGTGGGTGAGGAACAGGAGAGACTTCTGAGAAATGTTAAGAATTCATGTACATATCACGCACAAAGGAAAGAAAGAAAATAACAGTGGCCCCCAACTTTCTTGGACTGGGAGGCTGCTGCTGTCATTCACTGAGTCAAGGAAGAGAAAACACAGATCAGACAGAGAAAGAGGGAAGATTTCAGTTTGGGGCACATGAAGTGTGGAGCATCTGTGGACTTCAATACCAAACCAACTGTCCTGGAGCGTTCACCGGGCAACTGGAATGCAGCGGGAGACAAGCCGGACATGCCTGGGGCCGATTATGTGAAGTCGCGAAGGCAGAGTTGAAACAAATGACCACACAAATCACTACAGAACGACACTGCGAGAAACCATGGAAGGAAAGCCTGCGGGGCCCCACAGGAAGACACAAGGCAGTCCGAGGCTAAGGGACGGAGGCGAAGGGGGCTGAGGGGAGGGAAGAAATTCCCAGCAGAGGAGACGGCAGTGCTGCCGAGAGAGGGAGCCGCCCAGCTTGGCTATAAGGAGTAGTGACCCGCACAGGGTCGTGTGGTCATCCTAAGTATTCCGAACTTTTCTTCAAGGGAAATGGGGAACAAAGCTTGTAAACGGGGTGGACAGAAAGATCTGCCTTGAAGTAGGTCACTCTGGTAGCTGTGTGCAGGGGTGGAAAGCCACACGGCACCCACTGTGCAGTGCTGACAGTAGCCTGGATCTGAGTGACTGGTGAGCGTGGCGACAGCTACACCTACTTCACACAACGTCCACAGGGGCCGGCTCCTGCGACAGGACGTGGTAGCTGATGAAGGGTGAGTGAACAGTGGGAGTGGTAAGGGGGCCTTGCAGACCTCCAGCATGAACAGCTGGCTTGCAGTGGCGCTAATGACACTAGGGAGGGGCTCCAGGGGCAACACTGCATGTCTCATGTGTGAAACGCCCTTGAGGTAGCCAAGCAGAGAGAGCCACTAGGCAGTATCTATCTGGAATTCCAAAGATCAGCCTAGAAACGTAAGCTTGGAAGCTACTGGCACATAAATGGCATTTAAAGCTTTGGGAGAGGGTGACACTGCCTATGGATCAGGGTAGTTACAACAGAGAGAGACCCCAGGAGGGAGGGGAAGAGCTAACAGCACTAGAGAGAAGCTGGAATGGCAAAGGACAGGGGAGGTGAAAAGAAGAAGGTTTTGTGGAATGCTAAGGAAGAGAACACCGCAAGCAGGAAGAGAGGAAAATGCCTACTGCATGTGGCGGCACAGAAGTCACCGGCAAAGCCAGTGGTTGTGGTGGTCTGGTGGGTGACTAGGAGGCAGTCAGAACTGTGGCTGACAGAAATCTTCCCAACCACACAGGATAAATGGAATTTAAACAGAGGGAGCCTATCCAGAATCTCTGTCACCATGGCAACGTGTCCGGGTTAGCATATGGGGAAGAGCAGGGCCTTAGCTGCAGCCTCCCCCGATCTGCTGCTTTGGCCAGCGAGGAACCGCTGACCCTGTGCACTGCCAAGACCTCACTGCAGAAAGCAAGCCTCCCTGTCACAGAATTCAAAAGAACTGCGAAATTGTACCTTTTTTCTTTGAGCAGGTGGAGGGGAAGTCCTTGTCTTCCACCTTTACTGAAGGCCTGTTACACTTCATCCTACAGAAGAAAGAACGTCGTGCTCCAGAACATAATCGAGACGGCCCAGGGGTTATATCTGTTTTAACTGGAAGTCCAGCTGCAAATCAACACACAAAATGTGATGACTGAGAGTAGTGCTGTCTGGCGGGAAAGGAGAGTGACCTTGAACAAAGTCTTTTTCTTCACCGTCTCACTGTTTCATAACCATGACGTTGAGAAAAACATTTCTCTCCAGCTTAGATCTCAAAGATAAACTAAGGATCAATGTGCTGTTAATCTGCAAATGTTTACTGATCATGTAGGAAGCACCGCTGGACAAATGGCTTAGGTGCAACGGGGGAATAAAAAGAAATAAGAGCACAGCATTCTTGTCCAACAGAAGCTTACAAACAAGAAAGGGCAATGGAAGTACATGGGGAGAGATTAATATGACAGGGCGATGCGTCATTAGCGCCACGTAAATGGCAGACAACCTGCGCTCCTCAGGGGAAGAGCTTGGGCTGGTACTTGAAGGGTGGGTGAGATGTGGATCCTGGAATCGCAGGGAAGAAGTGAGATGGTTTTAAATTCTCAACCTGGCTGTAGGCCGGAATCCCTTGGGTGCTTTATCAACTCAGACTCTTGGACCCCATTCCAGATCTGCGTTAATCCATGCGTAACCATTAGCTACATACAGCTACAGGGCGCTTGAATGTGGCTTTTCTGAACTGAGAGGTGCTGTAGGTGTGAGACACACAGAAGGTTTCAAAGACAGTAGCAAAAAATGTAACAGAACTTACTAATGTTTTATAATTATTACATGTCAATGTAATATTCGTGATTTAACAGATTAGGTAAAATATAAGCATTCTTTGTTTAATGACCAAGGTGTGGTTCTTCAGCTTGGTGTTAAGTGGGCTGGTGGCTAATTGAGGAATTGTACATAGTGTGTACATTACAATATTCAGGACAGAGAAATGGTCAAAGGACACTCCAACTCGATGACTTTGCTTGTATTTGTGTAACTCTTACAGTTCTATAATGTAACAGGACATAAATCTACAGTACTGTACTGTACAGTACAATCAACAAAAATTATAGTACTGTATAAACGAGGTGTACTGTACCAAAAAAGACGCTGAGGCTCTAAAAACAAGATGTGCAAAACTGTATATAAAAAAAGGTCAAATCCGAGCAGCAGGTTGCTGAATCTGAACAGTCGTTAGACAGGTAAGTCGTTAAAGGAGGAATGTCTGTATATCATTAAAATTATTTTTACTTTTGAAAATGTAGCCGCGGGAAAATGTAAAATCACACATGGCTCGTGCTTATGGTTTGCATTTTGTTTCCACTGGGCTTGGGGGTGCCAGAGCAACTGAATCTACTGTTGGAGGGGAGCGAGGCCATGCTGTGAACTCCCTGGGGGAGCCGATGTGCACACCTCCTGACAATGCAAAGGTGGGGGCTTCTAATCACACGGGCTGGGAAGAGTACCCCACAGGACCACAGGCGCACGGCCCTCAGGCCTTTTCTCCTCCCACCTGCCTCCCACATGTCCGTTCTACTGGCCTCAACACCAGTCCCAGCCCGCCTATCCCACCCGGCTTGGAGCCCTTCCGGGGTCTGCTCCCTGCACACCGGGCTCCAGAGCAGGTCTCTGGGCTCCGCACAGCTGAACCTGGCCATGGATCATTTCCTCTGTTCTCCTCCCTTCATCACCTGGCAAACGTTAATTCATCTTTTCAAACCCCAACTGACATCTACTTGGGGATGCCGGTTCTTGCACCCACATGAAAATGAATCACCCCCTTCTCTGCGCTGCTGCTATTTCTATGGCTGCACCTGCGGCACACAATCCTGTCTCCTGACTGTATGGTCAGGGCCTCGAGGGCAAATGCCAACGCCGAATGCTGTTCATCTTATTTTCCATAGGTCGCTGAAAAGGTACCAAGGCCAGGCTATAAAAGGGCAACAGTACCAGGGCCTAAGTTTACTTTTAGGAAGAAGATTAGTGCCTTAAATAAAAAGATATTTTATATTTTATTTAATTTATTTTTGAGACAGGGTCTCATTGTATAGCTCAGGCTGGCCTTGAACTCACTATGTAGCCCAGACTGGCTTCAAACTCACAATAATCCTCTTGCCCGAGCCTTCTGAGTGGCTGCATTACAGGCATATGCCACACCTTGCTTAAGGATGTATTAGAAGACATCCTCTGCTGGATTTCCCCCAAGGACTAATATGAAATGCTTAGAAGCAGGAAACTAGTTGGGCCATGACTGCACTGGGCTGAGGTCAATACAAGACTGATATCGTACTTGCTATGGGCTAGGAACAATCCTGCATGGTTTGTGTAGTATATTAATATTTAATTCTTTCAACAACTCAGTAAAATAGGTGCTATTTTGTAGATAAGGAAACTGAGACACAGAGGTTAAACAGCGTGTTGAAAGCCACCCAGCTAGCGGCGGTGTGCGCCTGGCATCAGCCTCCAGAGTCTGTGCTCTTAACTGCAGAAGTGCACACAGCTTCTTACAGAGCACCAGAAACGGAGCTCCAGGGCCCGGCGCAGGACACGCGGACAGGGTGTGCAGGAGCAGGAGGCCGGGAGCCCTCCGGAATGGTGGTTCGGAGACTGCAGGAAGGAAGCCAGGAGGGGGCCAGCCTACTGGGACCCACGCGGTCAGAGAAAGGCACATTCACAGTGCAGGTTTTGTTGCTGCTCTCCTCTGAGACTGTACATGTGCAACTCAGACCCAGAGGCCTGTGCTCTGAGAGGGCCCATCTAACTGGCGCAGCCCCGCAAACTCGGACCATTCAAGTGGGAGCTTCTAGAGTCTGGAAAATAAAGTAACTAACAATCTGGAAGAATCGAGTCAAAGGAGCTCTTCTTCCAATGAACTTAGATAGTAAATTCTTTTCTTCCTTATGTAAAATCCAACAAAAACCCCAAAGAACGTAAGGAGTTCTATTTAGCCACAGAGAGCAGCTGTGACCAAGAGAAAGGGCAGCGAGGTGAGCAGGGGCCTGTGCTCATGGGCGCTCAGCCGGGTGGCAACACCGGCCTTCCCTGTACTCACTTTTTGCATCTATGAGCCGCTCCCGGGGTGCGGTGTCGGAGGAGGAGAGCTGCTCCTTAACTTTGGCGATATCTTTAGGGTGCAGGTAATCGAACAAACTCTGACCAATCAGATCGTTCTGTGGGCATGAAATGTTTAAATGACAAGTCAACCTCTTGTGAACGATGCAACAAGCACTCAGCCTGCACACCCTTTGCCTCAGTGTTATTTATGTATTTATTGCGGTACTGGGGATGGAACCCAGGGCCTCGCACATGCTGGGCAGGCCTTGTACCACCCAGTACCCCCAGCCCTTGGTTTATATTTTGAAGCATAAGAATCTCTATCGTTTCATATACGATCCCTTTGCCTAGACAGACACAATGAAGGCAGCATCAGGAGTGTGATTTTGATTATGGGTGAGGGGGAAAGTTTCAGTTATATTCAGTTCACCCTCCGAGGCAAGAATCTTCTGACAGTGTGTATTCTTTTTAACTTCTCTCTGATGCCCACAAGCTCCAGGGAAGGCCCAGAAGGAGGGAGGGACTCTGACTCGGGCCCTGCTATTAAGCCTGGCCTTTCTTTAAGTCTTATCACGGTATGCCTCAGCTGCCTCACCTGTTCACAGAGATCATAACACTTCTGAGACTGAAGAAAGTAAAGTATTTCAGAAAGAAAACATGATATTAATATTCACTTATATAAATGCTATTCTGGTTCAGTTCTGCTTACCAAGCTTCTATGCAAATACCCATGTGTGAATGAGCAAATGAATGAATGAACAAAAATTCTGGGGACGTAGTAGGCAAAAAGCTTGGTTCTAGAAGCTTTTATATGTTCCTCTTACTTGATCCACAATCAAGCAGGGAAGGAATGGGAAAGGCCCGTCCACAATGAGAGGCAGCTAAGGCTCAAGCAGTCTCGGGTCACTGTGCACACAGGGCAGGCTGCGTTCCCTGGGACTCATCTCTGCTGCCCTCTCCCTTGGCAGGCAGCCGCACTCCCCGCCCCCGGCCACAGTGGTGGGATATTTGTTCTGCAGCAGTAAGACAGCTACACAGCTGCCGATCAGGTCAGAGCCAGACCTTCCCATGCAGGAAATACGGGGCGCGTAAGAGATTCTCCTAAGTTTAAATTCATTTCTCTGTTAAGTTAAGAATTTTCTGGAAGGACAATTTCACATATGAAATATATGCTTAAGTATTCTGAAAAATGGGGAAGGGGTGCCCACCCCCAGCAGGAGCATGAACAGCATAAGCAATACCTGGCTGTAGTTGAGGATCTTGAAGACAGACTCTGAGACAAAGAGTATCTTCCCTCGGTCACATCCTACGACAAACAAAAATCCATCTGCTGCCTAATCAGGAGAAATGGATAATCAATTTATCACACTTTAGGACACAGGATTTGTACTCACTCTGACAGTAAATCAAGGATTTGTTTGCAAAGTTTCCAAAGCACAGGAACGCTCACTGATAGCTTCACTGGTATGCAAAGACAGGGTGCTTAAAATAAATGGTTTATGGGAATAAGATACTCTCTAAAGTGGAGATATATATATCACCTTAATGATTTAGGGCAAGTCCAGGAAAGTAGGTTCTGCAAAACAAAACCCACTACTTTGTATAATATGTGCTAATAAAAATGAAGTAAGGTTTGTTTCAAAACAAAATTCAGCTTAAAATATTTCTTTTCATTTCATGAAGGCCCAGAGAAGTCACATTTCATTCTTTGACTATAGCAGTTCTATGGAGAACTACCGAGTCTGAGATCGAAAGGACCCTTGCCGATCAGAACCCTTTCTCTAACGTCTCAGTCTCCATCTGCCCTCAACTCCACCCTCACCTACAGGCATGCTGTGGTTTTCAACATCTAGAGTGATGTGTTTGTTTTCATTTCTACATTGAAGTCTGGGCTGGGGCTGGATCACTGGTATGCTTTTACCCCTATCCCAACACGATTCACATGTAACAGGGCTGGAAAGTACTGCTCTCCAATACCTCTCCTTCCAGCTATTTGCATTCTAAGTAAAAGAAGAAAAGAAAAACTTCCCACCAGATTCTTCTTACCTATTCTTAAGCTTAAATACAGATAAAAATCTAAAGTGCCAACAGACATTTGGAAAAGAAACTGAAGTAGGCTACAGCACCCAAGAGCTGAGGCTCTATGTCTGCATGAGCCTGCCCCTCGCGGACAGTGGACGGCACTCAGCGCTGCCTTCCAGGGCCAGGGAGGCTGCCTCCAACTCCGTCACACAGTTGTTCTATTCATTCTGCTCCCCTGGTTCTAACACACAGGCGGCCACTGCTTCTGCTTCTTTGCTGGGAAAATCTAGAGACTCGGTTTCCCAACGAAGGATCTTTGGGATGTGCTGAATTCAAAGAACCAGAAAAGGAATTCATGCCCCAGAAGGTAAAGAAATGATGTGTGCACCTGTGCTGGGCCAGCAGTGAGGAGAAGGGAGCAGAACTGCTGTGCCCTGAGAAGCTGGCAGGGGCTGGGGACCACCCTTTCCTAAGTTAGGTCCCTCAGCTGGCCCGGGGGGTAAGGGTAACACTGAGGGGAAGTAACTCTCCAAGCACCGTCTGCTGGAAGCCTCATTCTGTCAAAAAATAGGGTATTAATAACTTCCTCATTTGCCTTGCAGACAGTCTCAATGTATCACGAGAGAAGTGTCACAGGCTGTCACTGATGTGGAGATGTGGCACAGATGATGCTACTGTGATGTCCCAGTGGGAGTGCTGGACAGTGTGAGGCCTGAACTGACACGGAGCAAAGCGGATTACAGCCCACCCAGGGACAGCGCGCGGCGGTGCGGGCCGTGTGCGTGGTCAGAGCAAGAAGGCTCTGATTGAGCAACCGGGGCAAGAGCGCGTGTGAGGGACCAGCCGAGGAGCAGAGGCTGTGAGCACACTAGGAGCACCCAGGGCTACAGCAACGCCAAGGCCAGGCCTCTTCCCGGGGCAGGCAGTGCTGGCGAATAAGGGACACCGACGTCCTGGTAGGGTAGGTCTAGTTTTCGTATCTTGGGAGACGAGTTCTGACATTATAAACAATATGGCTGACGGATTCCTGGCATAGTTTATTAAAGATACTTGTGAAATTACTGCATTATATTACAGCTGAAATATACACACAATTTTTTTATTAACAAATCAAATTGCCAATATGGTATTCAGGACCAAGAGGATTTCCAAGATGGCAACTTCAGGGCATTAATCCAAGCAGGGGCTGCGGGTGACGGCACAGGCTGACAGCTTCACTAGTGAAGCCAGCACTGGAGATGGTCAGGCCTTGCTTATATTTGACATCAGTGAGTCTTCTGGGACCAAGGACAGCTTTATGGGAAGGACAGGGAGCTGGGCGCACAGCTGGTGTCTGAATAACTGCGTCCTGACAGGAGTAACCAAAGGACCACCGCCAAGTGGCTGGAAATCCTAGGCCCTACCTGAAATGTCTATCACTGAGCTGGATGTTCCTGGCATAGTGCCAGACATTCAACAATCTATAAAATGCTCAAACCGGTGAATAAATGAGAGGCAGTGGCCCAGGGGTTTGCCTTTGAGATCCACAAGTCACACAAAGAGGCAAAAGGTCAATGACAAGCTGTGCTGTGGAGCCATTTAATTGATTTTGACAGAGATAAAAACAGAAGTCCTAGCCTGAGCTCAAAAAAACAAACTGCATCTATACAATATATAGGAAACCTGACCTAAGGATATTTTGTATCCAACAGGGTTGGGAGCAGTCCTGCAGCTGCCCGAAATGCGGCACTAATAGACAGCTTCCATGGCCCCTCTCAAGCTCAGGCCAACCAGATCACAGCTGAAGTGAACCTGGGTTTGTGGCAACTGCACTGTGGCAAATGGATGTGGCTCTGGAGAGGGTGTGTGGCAGATACTTTTCAAGAGACCAGTGTTCAACTCAACCCCGACTGCTTCCTGTGGGCTAGGAGGCTGTACATGTGCTTCCGCGCCCTGCCTAGAGCTACAGGTAACCTTTCTGGATAAGCTGAAGCTCAGTGCTGGGTTTCTCAGAGGGCGGATCCCTTCCCAGGCCAGAGCCTCAGTCTCCCCTTCCTGCTGATTGGTCTGACTACTCACCCCCGGCCCTTTTACCTTGCTGCCTGGAGGAAGCCAGGAGCACATGCGCTTAGCAAGGTTCTGTACAAAGACTGAAAGAATCTGGTTCATGTCGACCTTAATAACCAGCACAGCAGCCCTGCATAACCCTCCCAGAGCCAGTTACCCTGGAGGAACAAAATTCTATTTTTTTAAACAGTACCGGGGACTTAGCCCAGGGCTGTGTGCATGCTAGGTGGGCTGTGTGCATGCTAGGCGAGTGTCTTAACCACTGCGCTACAAACAGTTCTAGCCCTTTTAAAGTTTTACTTTGAGACAGGCTCTTGCTAAATTGCCCACACTGATCTCAAACTTGAGATCTTCCTGCCTCAGCCCTCCCTCCTTCCCCCCTGCAGCTAGGATTACAGGTGTGCACCACTGCTCCCTGCTACAAAACTGTATTATCTGTCAGGTCTGTTCCTCGATGCTCAAAGCTCTCCTGTCTGGCAAAACAGAGAGAGAATACTGGAGCAAGCAGACAGGCCAGACGGCCAGACGCACAGAGCACCTGAAGCCAGGGAGAGCTGCAAAGGACAGGTCGCGAAGGTCCAGCTGGAGCACCCCGCTTTCCTGGTGCTCTGCAGACTTCTGCCAGAAGACTGAGCCTCAGATGCCACAGGGGTCTGAGCAGGTAAGGTCAGCCCCTGCTGTCTGGAAGGAGGGGGCAGGTTTCCTGTCTTTTAGTTACACTTCCCTATTTGTCATTTTCCAGCGTAGAAGAGGACAAGTTTCCGAAGTCAGTGTCTTGCCCTTCAGTTTCCAAGTTAATTCCACTAGCACACCCCGAGTAGCACACCCCGAGCCTCGTGCACACCTAATCCTGCATGGAAGCCAGAGAGCTCCACGGTGCCACCTTCACCATCTCTCTGCAGAGGCTTAGCAAGACAAACAGAGCCTCAGCATCATGCAGGTAAAAGCACGCGCCTCTCCCATTTATTTCCCTCTGGCACCTTTATTGTTTGGATGGATTTTGGTGTCATTATTTGGGTGGGTTTTTCTGAGCTGGTGGTTAAGTAACGAGAACAGAAGTTCTTCATTATTGCCAGTTCTAGTCCCTTTCTAAACATCTTTATGCAGGAATGTGAATCTTAGCTCTCTCCTATTTCTAATAAAATCCTGCCTCTTTGGATTTAAAATCACAGTAGCGCAACCATCCATGTTTGCCTAAGCAGGGTTAGAAGGAAGGTAGAGGTTGTGCAGAAGGAGCGTGAAGCCTGCCAGAGCAATAAGGTAGAGGTGGAGACCGAGAAAGGAAGTGGGCCTGAAAGAGACAGCAGCGTTACAACATCAAATTCCCACATGCTGGCACTTACTCTGGAATTTATTTAAAAACCAGTGTTGTGTAAAATCATCTCATAATTGCAACGTACCCTGAGAATGAGGTGTTTCAATTCATCATCTGACAGAAAAGTTGGCTTGTAGTTTGCTTCTGTATATGGATTAGTGGCACCTGAGAGGGAGAAGAAGGAGAGAGAGTGTCGGTGCGCTCACCTTCAGATGGCATGGCACCCCACGCCACCGCCTCCACCCTGGAGGGGCCGAGACCTCCCACCTGGGATTTACACTTCATCTTTCTTCCCTTCAGTGAGACTTGGAGGGGGCAGGCAACCTTCCTTTTGGTTACATTTCCCTATTTTTCATTTTACAGTGTGCTAGATCTGACCTTTGGTCAGAATCCTGTCAAGCCAAAGAGAATTCCATTGAAAAGAAAACACTGCTGCCCACAGGAGACTTCACAAGCTTGCTTTTCTTATTATAGGGAAACTGAGAGATGACAGAAGGAAGTTAAAAAATCTGCTTTTAAGAAAGAAGGCAGCTCTGGAAGCAAATCGAAGTTGCTCCTGAGAGAGTTCTTGCCTCTCAGGGTCAGTATTAAATGTGCTGTCTAGCACTCCATCAAATCACCACTCTTGGGAAATCATCCAATTTGCCAGACCTCAAGTAAATATATTACAGGAGGCAGTTAGCGTGCATTCCTCCACACGGGGCTGGGTGAATGAGCCCGGCAGCCCTGGAGGAATGCACGCTCGAGTCAGTGCAGCTCCAGCTCTTGGGCCTGGAAGGGGAGTGTTTAAAAGTCTGTCAATCTGGCATTTCTTAGGAGAACAATAACTTCACTGAGAAAAATGCCAGCAGTAGATGACGTTGGAGTCTGCAGAACAGTGAAGGAATAGAATGAAGTGGATCTACAACAATTCAAACTACCATGGGAAGCAGGGAAACAGGATGTGACTTTCATATCGATGAACAAGGCATGTTATTATTCTCTGCTTTTTATTACACCCTGAGATTTTCCACTTTTTTTTCCAATTTAACTAAAATTAGCTTATGATGACTTAACCGATATCATCTTCACTAAGATGAAATTTTAAACATTATTCTTTAAGCATAAGATACAATATTTATATTTTTGAATAATGATCAAAAGTCATTTTTTAAAAAGCCACTGTTTATTTCTAGTGGCATCGGGCAGATATAAAAATGGGACTCTTTCACCACGCAGGTCAGATCTGACTGAGCACCGCCTTCTAATTTCATCCAAGAGTCTGAGACGAGCTGTGGAAAATTCCAGGAATGGCGTTCACTAAAATGCCTGATGTATTTCAGATTTCTCCTGTGATCTGGATAAGTCACTTCCACTTTTCTGCCTCTGTTTTCTCACCCTCCCCACACTCTGCAAAGAAAGGAAAATACTGCCTCCCTTACGAAGAGTCAATCTAGTTCGGGAAAATTCCAGGAAGATGAAAATATCATCAGTGTTGGTTCCTGACAATTTAACACAAAAACTGTCTATCAACCAGTGACTCATTCTTCAAAGGGACTATGATACATTTTTGCCCTTAATAACTATAACTAACTTTTCTGCCTCAGTCACTATGTGCACCTGATTTCTGATTGCTATAATTGTATGGGTGGGCTCTAGGCCCCGGTGAGCTGCGACATCAGCCGAGTCTTCTGTGATATGCAAGCAGCAGACATATGTGCGCATACAAAAGTATGCAAACCTTACAGCTTCTATGCTCTGCGATGTGTGGCTGCAAAACTGTACCTTGACACCCACAGAAGCTCAATAATCACTTCATTTGGCGTTATAGCTGTTTTTGAACAGCACAGGCATGTGACTCAGGGCTACGTACTTGTAAGTAATCAGCGATTGTCTCAGAGACGCAAATATTATGGGCAAGGACATAAAGGACAATAAAGCCCTGGCTCTCACCTCTTAGCGTCTTCATGTGCTGAACGGCCATCCTCAACACGGTAAGTTTATCTAATTTTCTGGACATCGCGTTGCATGTTGGTACCAAAGAAGCCAGTTCGTCAATAAAACTGTTCATCTTGTCCCTGCGCCGCTTTTCAATCTGACTGTGAGCTTCCCTGAACAACAATATCAAAAATGATTTCTTTAAAAAGCGAGCAAACAATAAGGGAACAATGACAAGAATAAATACATGGTAGCTGTCATCTGAAACAACAAATTTAGAATTTGCAGAATGTTTCAAATTAAGACTTTTCTAGTGGTCACACCCAAATGGGCTCACAATCAGGTAAGATTTAGCTTACAAAAATTACAAAAAGTACCTTTTCACGGTAAACTGAATGATTAATTTACCATTGCTTTCCTCTCAGCCTCTATAAAAGTGGATTTGTGATGGGGGAGGAAGGAGAGAGGTGGGATGGACGTTTCACAAAGCCAAGGATCCAGAACAGCCAGGGCAGCACCCGGGGTCCCACAGTGGGTGCCTGTGAGGTCCATGAGGAGCCCATGCATGGCTGTGGGGGGCACCATTCTTTCCAGTCAGAGTCATTGCTTGAGGTGCCCGGTACTAATGGTGCCGTCCTTGGATCAACACGGACCCTCCTAGCTGCAGCACATGCACCTTTGTCCCCAAGCTTCCTCTGAGGGCTGCAGCACTCCTCCTGCCCAGGAGGGGCTGCCTGCAGATGCAGGACGACACTCCCCTGCACACGCCCTCCCTGGCTGAGGTGCACCTGCCTTAGGCGGGTGGTGCTGTCTGCATAGCTACAGAGCCATGGACCTCCTGCTTAGGCCGGTCTGCAAGGGAAGCACTAGGTGTCTTCAGTCCCCCAGTTTCTGCAGCCCCCTGGTTCTGTGTGTCATGATGGAGCTCAGACAGACCTAGGACTAACGCAGGGAAGCCTGAGGGCCCAGCAGGAAGGGGTCAGCACGTGGCTGCAGGAGGAAGGACTGACTTAGAGGTCCTCAAGGCAGATGGAGGTGCTCCAGGCCTGGCCTTCCGATGCAAGCTACAGTGCACTAAGGGGCCCTATCAGAGGCGAGGCACAGCCAGGGAGAAGGGGTGGGTCACTGAGCCATGTCTCTCTGAGGGCCTTCGAGTCAGGAAGGAGGAATCAGCTGAACACCTGGTAAACATTAGCTTCAACTGATTTTCTGCTGCCTCCAAAGTCCCTTCAGGTTAAATGTATTTAGGCGGCAATGAGTGAAGCCCACCTTAGCCCGGAAGGAGCCAGGGGCAGAGGCTGTATCAAGCCAAGGCCCAGCACCTCCTCCCCTGTTCCTTAACGTGTCCAAAAGGCCTCAACAGCCAGGGACCAACACAGAGAGCCGCCCCAGCTGGCATCTAACCAGCAGGAAATAGGACAATCTATAGACGAAACAAAAGTCCTAGTTTACCTTGCATTTTTGATCCTTCCTTGGTGTTCTGTGTATTCCAACCTGGGAAAAAAAAAAGTAAAAGATAAAAATGCAATTCTCTGGACACGAATGGCAAAATTACACATTTCTGTTTTCTTCCTCCAGGTCCCTGTCACCTCTCTACAGACACACAAGGGCTCTTGGTTGTTAGCCACACTGGGACTGGGGTGGAGGGAGAGAATTCTGAGCCCAAGGCTCCTGGCCTGCTTGCTTATCTCCGATGGAGACACGGGTGGAACATGCTCCAAGTAACAATGTGTCATCGTGCAAGAAAATGGCTCTAAGGGTGCTGAAGTTCAAATGACTAGGGTCATGGTACCTTCCATGAGGGTCATCTTTGTCTGTGTCCATGCTTTCTCTGCAAAAACAAGAGAATGTGGCTGCATGTTAGTAAAGACGCACAGAGTGGCTTCTTGTCATAACACAGAAGGCTCACATTTATCCAGAAACTCAGCAAGTACAGAGCTCAAGTAGCCAGAGTGCAGATGAATGACTCATAGTAATACAAAGAAAAACATGCTGAATCTACTCTAAAGCGTGGACTGGCTTTCCACTTTATCAAGCAAAAGTTGCATACAGTGTCAATAGAGTTTGTGTGTTCAATACATTCCCCGTATCAATTACTTGAAAACTGGGAATACACAGATAACATGTATGGAAACTCTTCCTCAACCAGAGGATCCAAATGTCCGTAACGCTGCATTCCCTAGTCATTCTGGATAAACAGAGTTTATATTTGCAAACTGGATCAAGCATCAAAGATACGTGTGCACATCTGTGGGTTTGAGGAAGAGGGGGTGAAGTGCAGAGGGGCCGATTATCCTTAAGCCAACAGAGCAGCTCAGAGCCGAGCCCAGACAGCATTCCAAAGGCAGCGCTACCAAAGGTGCTGCTTCTCACCCAGGTGGGCTCCCCTGGGCTTGCGGACCTGGGACGGTGGGGACTGTGGGACAGAGGGCTACAGAGGGTGCTGGGGTCCCTGCAGGTATCTACTTCCCTTTCACAAACCCCAGAAATCCAAGTTTTGTGGCACCTTATAGCTCAATAAGAACAGGCTGCATGCCCGGAGGAAGGTGTTCTGGCCTCCCCTGGGGAATCTGTTCGTCCCTTCTCTAACCCACAGGTGTCTCAGGAGAGCACGGACGGCCACCTGGGCTTCACTCTTTTTCTCTTTTCTTTCTCCTATTACAAAGGAGGGCGGTGGCCCTGAGCACACTGTAACTGTCCTAGGAGTGCTGGATCATAGCCAGGCCGTATTTTAGAACAGCGGTTCCCAGCTAGGTGCCCTGGGTCCCCTCAGAAGCAGTTTCTCCAGCACAGCCCAGAGAAAATCATCCAGGCTGCAGGGCCAACACACCCGGTGCCCTTTCATCTGGAATCGTGTGTGCTGCTGAGGCCAGGCCAGTCCTCACAGGTGAGAAACTGTGGCCTTAGCTCAGGAAAATGACAGCGGAAGGATTGGGGTTGCTTAAGTAATCCATGAATTACAGCAGGTTGCCAAATTGGGGTTCACCAGGGAAACCTGAAGGGTGTGAGTTGGTGACGAGGTTGGAAACCACAGGTCTAAGTGACAAGAGTCTTAGAACAAGTCAGTGGCTCTGTCGGTGCTGCCCAAGACAAAGGGTTCCCGAGAAACATCTGGACACTGTTGGAGAGTTCGTGCTACGGAAGAAAGAGCCCCCTCGGTCTTCACACCCACTCTCCGTCCCCTGGGCGTGGCTCTCTCAGTGATCTGGGATAACTTACATATTAATCATAGCATCTCCTAGTGGGCATCTGACCTCCAGCCAGTGTGCTCCCCAAATTCGACCTGTGAACTTCAGCAGAAAGGACATCTGCTGTAGGGGGGATACCTCCTTGGAGATTTTCCCTCATTATACAACAGAAAGCCTCACACATGGACATTTGGGTACGATCCCACACAGATGCCTCAGCAAAGGGAAATGTGCCTTTGAACGTGCCACACGGCCTTCTTCCCTAGCGCTGGACAGAGGCAGAGGGTGGACAGTGAGTGGGGAAATTTACTTAAAAGAAAAGTCAAGACTAAAAAGAAACAAAAATACTACTTAACATAAGTGGTACGCACTACTTTAACGGTTCAGGGCAGAATCAATATCCCTGTGCTCTTGCTCATCCATCTCACACACATGAAGTGTGCGCCCGATCCTCGCTGTCTTCCTCAGAGAGCCCTGAGCGGGGCTGAGGTCTACAGACTCGGTCCTCCTGCTCAAAGGAGTGCAGGCGAGAGGGGAAGGGAGAAGCAGACTTGGCTTCAAGGCTGCAGATGAATGCCGGGGCTGGAGGGCACATAAAGGCCTGGAGGCTCCCTCCTCACTTGCAAGCCAGGGAGAAACGAAGCCCAAACCAACTGTGCAGCACGGAGAGCTGGACCTCTCCTTCCCATCCCCTCTTCCGGGAAAAGTGGTGGTCAGCCCTAGAGTTCCCTGCCCGTCCGCGAGCCGCAAGGACCTTACTGGTAGTCGGTGGAGCTGCCCTTCCGCTTGCGGTTGCAATCCACACTGCCGGTGCCCAGGGAGCTGGAGAGCAGGTCGGTAGGGCCGGGGGACATGAAGTCACTGATTGTGGAGGAAATGTCCATTCTCTGGTCTGCCATTGGGAGCTCTGGAATTGTGACGGGGCATTTATTTCACTGTGCTGGCCTAAGCACTGACATTTCCCACCCAGCCAGCCTGGCACAAGCACACAGCGGAGTAGAAAGAGCATCCTGCTTAGTTTTAGAGCTAATCTAGGCCCACCTGCTCATTTTTCTGGAAAAGACACAGAGGCTCAGAGAAGCTGAGTGGCTTCTTCTGTGTCTCAGGCTGGACCAGACCCCGAGCCGCTAGGAGGCAACCCAATTCCCGTAGGTTCTCTGACAATCCCAACTTCATCCCCTGCTAGCCAACAGATATATGATCGGTGAAATAAATAAACATGATCTACTTTTTCTTCATTAAAAAAATTATTGAAGACACAGAGTCACTCGGTTGCTCTAGCTGGCTGCTCCCTTTGCATAATGACATGAAGACACCATGAACAAACTGGCAAAACTCAGACTTTATGAGTGCCAAGTAAGTTGTTCCAGAAAAGACGTTGTTAAGTACCTTGCAGAGGGCTCCAACTCTAAACCAGCTGAAGAGGCCGCGCCCTGCAGTGTCAGGGCTCTGGGCTCCACGGGATGACTAGAGCGGTCACTCCCTCCTTCTGGACCTGAGTTTCCTCATCTGCAAAGCAAGAGGGTGAGCATGAGTCCGAGCGCTGTCTCCCACTGCCACTATTATGCCCACGGTTGCGAGCCATCCCCTCCTGGGTAGGTGTTTTCCCTTGTACAAGCACTGCTGGAATGGACATCTTCGTGCACGTAACTCCATGCATTTGAGCTACTCTCAGAATAAAGTTCTCCGAGTGAGGACGCACTGTGTCCTGCAGCACATTCAAATCCTGCGCTCCTGGAAAGCTCTTGCAATCTTTATCACCAAAGAGCTCTGGCCAGTCTCAAAGTGGGCGAGGAGAACGCGATGTGATTATTTGCACTTTTAAATTATTACTGACGGTGCTTCTACAATTCTAGGCCTTTCTCCGTCTGCACTTGTGTATACTCACATCCTGCTTCTCTAGCACCAAGCACCTGGACGAGAGAGCGTGCGCACCGCGGAGTACGGCACCCTTCCCTTCCTGGCCCTCGGTTCTCCCCGTCTGCTGCCACAGACGTCACTTCCTCCTCTGCCTCCAAGCCCAGTATCTCCCTGGTTCCCATTCACAGCTGGTAAACTTTGCTTCTTTTCTTTTTTGCAGTTCTAGAGTTGTAATCCAGGGCCTCGCCCACCTGGGGCAAGTACTCTACCGCTGAGCTACAGGCCTGGCCCCTATAACTTTGCTTCTTTATCTGACGAAGAGGTCAGCAATGACATCCCTCAGCCTCCTGAGATGCACCTGTAGAGGTTTCCAAACCCCGATTCCCACAGAGTCTTCACTCTTCTCACCTACCCGCGGCTACCGTGAACCCCTGGCCAGCCCATCCTGCACCATCCATGTTCCCCACATGAACAACTCATTACCACTTGAATAAAAATATAAATTCTGTCACTCCCACCTTGGGAACACTAAACGTTTGTGAACAGTATCTTCCTCTAGTGTCCCATTTTCTACATCTCTGGTATTTTTTCCAGTATTTTTCTCTTACAGTGCAAGTTAGGGTTTGTCCCCAGGATTACAATAAAACCCTTAGCCGGGCATGGTGGCACACACCTGTAATCCCAGCACTTTGGAGACTGAGGCAAAAGGATCGTTGTGAGTTCGAGACCAGTTTGAGCTGCAAAGTGAGCTCCAGGCCAGCCTGAACTGCATAGTGAGACCCTGTCTTAAAAAATACAATAAAACTCTGTTGGCTCACCAGTGACCTCCCCGCTGCTAGATCCCTCCCTCCTGATGGCTCCCGGGTCGCTGTCTCTTGCCTGGGAGACGCCTCCTTCTCACCGTTCTCCTTCTACGTCAGCAGTCACTCCTTGCTCTCCTTAGCTCGAGCCTCCTCTCTCCCTCGGCTCTAAACGAGAGTCCCAGGGTGTGCTGCAACCTCTCCTCTGTCCACGCTCACTACTTAGGACCTCTTCCTAGTTTTGTTGTTTTAAATATTACCCACAATATGAATATGCCCAAGTTCAAATCTCCAGCCTGGCTCTTCTCTCCCCAAACTCCAGATCTATAAAGCCAACCATCTCCCTCTCATCTTATTGGGATAAGCAACACAGATCTCATGCGCAATCATTCAAAACCCTCAGGTTAAGCTTGTCGGTCGTTCCTGGGTCAGTAAGCGGTACTTTCATCCTGCCAGTTACGGAAGCCTGGGAGCCGCCTGAATCCTTTCTTTCACATCCTGGGTCCAGTCCACTGGCAAATCCTACTGGTGCAACAGTAAGACAACAGAACTCACACACTTCTTCCCTTTCCCTTCATATTTCTGCTCAAATCTTACTTCCCCAGTGATGTTTTCTTGAACAACCATATAATACAAACTGCCATCCTTCCCTAATTAAGGCCCCTACTCAATGTTTTTTTTTAAAGCCTTCATCCAAACTTTAGCTACAATAATTTCTGTCTTCTATAAGGCTGAGGAAAGCAGGGCTTGTGTTTTATCGACTGTATGTACCCTTACTGCCTAGAACAGTTCACAGCACATTTCGAGTATTCAGTCAATAGACGCTGAGTCGATGAATACATGCGCATGTTAGGAATATCCTTCGTTCATCACAAATGTTGCAAATACTATTCTTTCTTTTCTTCCTTTTAACTTTGTTTACGCCATTAGCATGTAGTACTTAAGGTGACATGTTTTCTAAACCCTTTTCTCAGCCAAATACAGATATTCTCCTTTTTACTAATATTTTTATTTATAACTTTAATCTGTTTGAAAATTATTTTGGTGCACTACCTATGGTTAGGAATTTCTTATTTCCTTCCCTTGGATACACTATTGTCCCAACACCATTTATCAGACCATGCATCTATCCTGTTAACCAATCATGTGAAATGCTACCTCCATTCATCGTCTATGTCTAGACTTTCCATTCTGTTCCTCTGCTCTAGCTCTTTCCCGTATAGGACCACACTTTTTATGAGTGTGGCTCTAGAATGCATTTGAATATGCAGTAGAACAAATCCTCTTTGGTCCTATTGGTCTTTATTTCAGCAATTTCCTGGCTACTCTCTCTGACCTATCCTTCAGGATGCATTTTATGATTCTGTAACATCACTGACCATGCTGCTTGGCTGCCCTTGGTACCATTCTTGCTAACACTGAGAATAGGGCCAGCGATATGTACAGAGCCTACCTTCCAGGTCTTGGTGACTTGCTGAGCCCCGGCCCCTATGGGCTACATGCCAGAGTTAGGGTGCCACTAGTGTCCTCCACCCCCCCAGCGACCAGTGATCGTCAGCCGCGAGGGGCTGGTGGGGCTTATATCTTACCTGAAATTAAGGTCCTTAGACCCCAGATCAGTTTGGGAGGACCAAGGGGCTGGAGGACTTGGTGGTCACCTCAAAGTGATTCTCATGTTTCGCAATTTCCTTCCAGGCAGTCAAGTTCTTCCAAAACCCTATAGTGGGGACCACAGGAAAAGGAAATTCAGAACAACCACTCTGGGGCCAGATGCATGTGAAATTCTCTTACTCACTAAAGGTGCTGGAGGAGCCAGTGCCTGACTCCTGATTTCGGGGTGTAGCGCTGCAGGGGCTCACAGCCCCATCCCCCGCCACACTCCAGCTGCAGGCACGGGGGAATCTTGGAGCCACTTTCTGTGGAACGCAGTGCCTTCTAAGGACTAAAAACGAATTTTGGGGCATGTCCTTGGGAGAAGAAAGGTTAGCGTGCTTTTTATCATTTCCCTTACGGGAGTAAAGAACAGTGGTGAGCACCGGAGTGTTGCTCTGCGTCGGGCACATCTTTATTGTTTTCCGTGGATGAACTCGTTTAAACCTGAAAAATATGGCTCCAGGAGGTAGATACCGTGGTTTTCTCCACTTTGTAAAGAGCTGGCTGAGGCACAAAGAGGTGAAAAAACTAGCCAAAGTCACACAGCTGGAGCGTCGCACAGTGACCCCAAAGCTCTTACTCAGGTACATGCAGTGATCTGAGCCTAAGGGATCAGGAACAAAGGAAAACGACAGAAAACATTAAGGCCAAACAAAACGCCAACAGGGCCGCCCCAGACTGGCAGCCAGCTCAGACGGTGGAAGGAAACATTGCGAACCTCAAGTACAGTAGACAGGAAGGGAAGGGAAATGCATCCTACAAAGGGGTGCATGACAAGCAAGTGGGGGTGCCCCCTCCCCGCACCCCCCCCCCCCGCCAGGGCCTCCTGCCCCGGACAGAACTGATCTAGAAGCAAGAAAAGGGCCTCCCATGTTCTCCTGACCCAGCCCTGCTCTGCTGGGGAAAGCAAGATTTAGATTTAGATGGGGCTTTCATGACCCGCTGAAGAAAATTCTGGCATTTCGCATTCCACCAGCAGTCTCTGCTGTATCTCTGTCTAGATCGTTACTCGGTCTTCAAAGGCATATCTAGGAATAGAACTGCTTTCATCCTCCAATTTACTCCTCTCTGCAGCCTGTTGCAGGATCCTTCCGTGTCACTCTGTGAACTCCGGTCCGGGTGTGTGCAAGCATCGTGACCAGGGATCTGGGATTTCCACTCTCCGCACCTCAGCGGGTAAAAGCGGCCAATGGACCCAAGCCCCCGAGGCTTATTCCATGTAATTCTTTCCAAATCTGACCAGGACCCATTCTCATGCCGCCCTTCCAGCCAGTCAGCGGCAGACTCCGCCCAGGCTGCCTCCTCCCTCTCACACCTGGTGCCCCAGGGAGTCCTCCGATAAGAGGGTCGGGAGCTCCCCTCATTCTGTCACCACCTTGCCAGCCCCAGCCCCACCCGCTGCGGTCAGCGACAGGACGCCTCTGTAGCCTCACCGATCCCCCTCAGACTCTGCAGACAAAAACCCCAAATGCCCTGGCAGGAGCCGTGGGCTGTGCTCAGTCCCAGTGCGACCCCAGCCCCCAGCCAGACTGAAGGACTGCGGGTCCCCGAGCCCCCGCCTTGGCGGACCCGCTCCTCCTTGTGCGGGTGGCTTCCTTTGCTGCCTGTCAGTGGTGACCTGCTCTCCTCTCCCTTCTCCTGCAGAAGCCTCCTAAGACGCAGCCTCCCTGCCTGGCCTGCCTCGCACGCTGATCCCCCCAGCCCAGGCCCGCGCCTCAGCCGACGAATGTGTTCATATCCCTTCTCCTCCTGCCTCCTGGGCACGCACAGGAAGGTTCTACTAAGCTCGGGCTCCCAAACTCCACACGCAGTGTCTTACTCTGGTGATTTTCTGCAATACTCAAATTTAGAGAGAAGTTAGAATAATAGTATTTATACAGATGCCGGTACCAGCAAAGCTCAGAGGGCCTTCTTCCTTGCTTGGACAGGTTAGGTTAGGAAGGTTAACCAGCTGTTAGGAAGCTGAACCAGCTGTGACCCCTGACACTGCTTTTGGAAAGCTCTTTTCTTTCCAAGAAGATATTCTTGTGGTTTTTTTTCATTTTGTTTTGTTTTTTTTTCCAATTCCGGGAATCGAACTCACGACCTTGCGCTTGCCAGGCAGGCGCTGTGCCATTGAGCTAAATCCCCAGCCTCTAAGAATCGCCCAGCCCCTAAGAAGCCCCTAATCCCCATTTAAGTCTTAAACGTGAGAATAAAGTAAAGAACACTGCCCGCCCCAGCTCTTTCCATGCTGCTTCCAAAAGATTTGAGCCAAGGGAAGGCGCTCCACGAGGCCTTAGGCATCTTCTGGGGATCCCTGTGGGTGGTGGGGTCTCAGGACCTGCCCTGGTACGGCAGGCAAGTGCCGCACAGTGTGACAGGCTTGGGAGAGCTTGGACGAGGCCCCAGAGGCAGGGCCACGTGTGTTCCCACTCCTGAGCCAGAGATTCCCAAAGTGGGGGTGAAGAGCCTGCTGGGCGCCCGAGGAAGCAGGGCACACTGGGACTTGTACGTTGTGCTAGGAAGAATGCAGGGCACCCTCTACCCCACCCCAGCCCCTGCTCCTTGGGGCTCCACCCAAAGGAGCAGGAGGCTGCAGGAGAAGCCACAAGTTTCTCCAGGTTGCCCCTGCAGAGAAGTCACAACAGCCGAGAGGACAAGGGGAGGTCACCCACCAGTAGGCACCACCAGGAAACGCGGCTGCTTTTGTGAACAGAACAGCTGAGATGGAACCCCACTCCTGAAGACACCCACCCTCCACCTACAGGGAGACAACCACGTCCAGACCTCAGTCAGACCACGCACCTCTCTCTTCTCCTAATCCCTGCTCCAGCAGCCCAGAGGACTCGAAGAAACAGACGGCAGAGGGCAGGCTGTCTTCATGGTCCGACGATTAGCTGCCCCTCCTGGTGGGGAGATTCTGCACAACACCCAGGCATCGGACCTGCCCAGGGGACCTGCCCTGACCACTGTGAGCCGAAGTGACCGCTACAACTTTCACACAGAACCTGTGGTTGCGTTCCCTCGGCTGTGGGCAGATTGTTGTCACTATCACGGGAGGGCATCAGTTACCACAACAGCGGGCTCACTTTAAACGTGAGCTCCTCCCCTCCTGCTCTCTCCTGCCCTTGTGCCTCTGCCGCGGGATAACACGGCAGCTCCCTCACCAGATGCCCGCACACTGACCTTGGACTTGCCAAGCAGCCTTAAGAAACAAATTACTCTTCCTTCTAAACTGCCCAGTCTGTGGAATTCTGTCACAGCAGTGCAACAGTGACTGACAGGTCCATGTCTCAGACTTTCCCCTTCAAGCACTGCGGGGCTGTGTCCCAGGGAATCTTTCAGTCCCAGAAAAGCTGTGACAGTGCTCCCCAGGTTAGCACTGCTGTGTGTCCTACAGGAAGGAAGCTGCGGATAAGGAAGAGGGTCGAGGAGCCCCAGGCCAAGCTGATCTGGGAGGAGGGAAGGAACCATGGCTTTGCTGGACAAGCGTAATCTCCACAGCCTCTCTGGTCATGGTGGGCTTCACCCAAGCTCTGCGGCGGAGGTGTAAGGATTGAGGAGGCCAAGTCGCCTTGCTTAAAATGGCATGGCAGCAAGTGAGGCCGAAGCCCAGTTGTGTCCAGCCCCACTGCAGATGCTTCTAATCACCACACTACTGCCAAACCTGCCTCCAAAAACCACCCCAAAAGTCAAATACAACATTTCAAAAAAAAAAAAAAACCACCAGAACAAGTATTCCTAGGGAAGCAAGGGGGGAAGTTGTAGGAAGATATCTCAGTTCTGTAAAGCTGGAGGAACTGAGCAAACAACTTCTGTCTGAGCTTGCTGGCAGGCAAGGCAAAAAGGGAAATACTCAGCTATACTGTGTCCGCCCAGGAAGCTGATCAGTTCGTTAGGACAGACCTGAGCAAAGTGGGGTCAGCCGAGAGCTTCTCTCCAGGAGACCTGAGGAATTCTGTGCCGAATGGTTCCGGGGAAACAGGCTTTGCAAAAGAACAGTGGGCCACTCTCTTTTTAAAATGGGGTCCTACTGAAAGCCTGACTCCCTCTTTCCTGACTCCCTGGAAGGAGTTCTGCTGAGACACTGTGTGTGAAGCCCCAGGATGTGTCTTGAGTTGTACCTCCCAATGACACGGCTTACTCATGTGGACACTCGGGAAAAAAGGACAGCTGTGAAGGAACAGCCCCGTCTCCTGCCTCGTAGTGTACACTTACAGATCTAATTCCACACAAGACCCCAAATGCCCCAGCAGGGGCCCGAGTTACCAGCTCTGCATGCTCACAGCCCACAAGGTGCTGGCCTGGGCATAGCTCGGCCTCAGGCAGCGCTGCTTCTCTTCCTCTGGCCGGAGGGCGAGGAGGTGGCCCCCGCCCCACAGCACGGGCTCTGCCTCAGTGCTTGCCAAGGGACTGAATGCTGAGTAGTCCCTATCTGTTCAGGTGGTGGGGGTCTTTGAGCAGAGAGAGGCAGGAGGTTACTGGCCCTGTCCCTTCTCTGCAAGTCGCCCTGGCCTTCCATGCTTTCTCCGACAGCCTGTGGGGAGTTTAGCTGCCTTGCTTTGCAGCACGTGGACTCAGAGAACCTTCATGTGTGACCAGATGCTCTGAGCCTGAGGGTGACAGGTGGGTTTGCATCAGGATCATTCACAAGCTTTTCTGTAGCCTCTAGCAGGGCCTTGGAGAAGTTTCCAGTCCTTACATTTCTGATGCCTTCAATGTAGCTGGGGAGACGAGTAGTTAAATAAATACAGGACAGCATGGCCAATGCAATGGGCAGAGCCAGACCCAAGACTGGGCGAGCAGCAGCGCACTGCCCAGCTTCAGGTGGTCCTGTACCTTTGTGAACGGCAGAGATCGGTGGGGCATTACCACAACTTCCCAGCAGGTGGCAGTCAAGCGCCTTGAGAAAGGAGTGCTTTTTTCCTAGTTGTGGGACACGTATGATACGTTGCAGAAGCCCTGTGCCATTATCACTATTCTTGTTCTCTTATAAAGTATTTTGTTGTGAGATTTTGTTTTATTTTTTCATGTAATAAAGATACAGGAGTTGAACTGGAGGAGAAAATAATTAGCTTCCTG